CCGTTCGGATATTTTTACATTTCGGGTCGGATAACAGGTCGGGTTTTTCGGTTCGGTTCGGTTCAGATTTCAGGTTTCGGATTTTATGCCCAGACCTATCGTCATATGCTGCTTCTTATTGTCAACTACTGCATATTTACTTAGAGCACCATTAACTCTTAAAAGCCAAAATTTGGTTCTTAAGTTTTTCTAAATCTGATTTTTTTTTAAAAAAAAATAAAAACTAACCAATCACAAACCACCACTTATCAGAGGAATCCGCAAAAATACAAGAATTTCCTCTTGCATAAGAGATTTAAGAATTGGATTTTATAAAAATTATGGGATCCACCTCTTAAAAATCCACTTAAGAGATAGGGTTAATGGTGTTCTTATACATTGAATATAAACTCTAAGTTTGGTTGTTTTTACCCAAACTTAACTCTTAATTAAACTGAACTGAAAAAACAGAAATTAAATCCGAACCGTTATAAAAATATATTCGAAAAACTTGAGAATTTGGTAATTTGGATACAATCCGAACCGAACTGAAATCTGAACTTAGATACGACTATATCTTAAATTAGTAAAATATGGTACTATTTTTATATATGTTAAAGTGATTTAGATCTTTAGAGTATTCTAAAGATTTTATAGTTTATTCTATTTGTTATTTTGAATAAACTTTAGCTAGTTTAACTTATTTTAATTAGATTGTGAATAATTTACATATTTTGGATATTTTTTTAGTTTTTAAAAATATTTTTGAGAGATTTTATACATTTGATTATATAATCAATCTGAACCGAATTTTGAAAAACCGAATTAAACCTAATTTGATAATTCTAAACCCTGAATGAAACTTATAAAACATAGTACCAAAAATTTAAAAATCCGAATTAACCGAATTACCCGAACACCGAGGCTTAATTAACTCCATGACTTCAAATTTACGGAGGGAGGAGGCACGTGGAGAGTGGGTGGCGCACGTGCGGAGAACCGGGAGCGGAGGTAACCGGCTTCTCTCTCTCTCTCTTTGTAATTGATGCCAGCTTGGACGAGAGGGAGTGGGTGGGGGAGAGAAGTTTTATCCTTATGCTTACTTGTGTAGGTCCCTCTTTTTGCATCTTTCTTTTTCTCCTCATGAAGACCCCCCTTAATCTTTGTTTTATTCCGTTTGTCACCCCCTTTGTTTTTTGGGCTCTACTTCACCCCATAATCTCTAGCAGTTACAAAGGGAATATAATATTTTCGAGAGAAGATAGATCGAGCTATGGCAACTAATTCATAGAATATACTTACATCATGTTCCAATAATACATATAAACTAAACATGTTATGTTTGTCATGTGAAACCTTTTATCAGTGGGGCGGGATCGTTTTATATATTTGTTTAGTACTACAAAAATGAACAATAATAAGACAACAAGAAAAAGGAGATGAAAGGCAATGCTGCACTTGCATCCCTCTGAAATAGGTGGGAATGGGTTGTCATGTCACATTAAGCCAAAATTGTTTTATTAGCTTTTTTGATTTTTCATTGTTATTGTACATTGTGTATGATAGAAAAGAACCTGCTCGACATCTTAACGTGCACCTCGTTCGTTAGAGTACCTTTTCCATATATGAATTTCTCAATGTTATTTGGTCTGAATAACTGTATATGCTCATCACTGTTTTACGTGACACCTTATGTTAAACTGCTTATAAATTCAAAGAATGTGGATGGTAGTGCAACTCTTTTTTTCTCTATCCGGTGAATCAAACGTTGACGTCTTTGTTACTGTCACTGCTGAGCTCTGACTTTTAATAATTATCGGTTAGAAAAGTTTCTTTTGCTAATAGAACAACAAGTCGCTTTGGCCGAGTGGTTAAGGCGTGTGCCTGCTAAGTACATGGGGTTTCCCCGCGAGAGTTCGAATCTCTCAGGCGACGGTATTTTTTTGCAGTTTTTTTAAAAAATGTAGTAAAGATAAAACGGAGGAAACCCTTCCGCATTAATGGGTTTTCATCATCGAGCCAAACAACAGACAGGACAGGACAGTACGGACACAACTATCTCCTCTTGCCGTCTTAATTTCGTAGCTTGTCTAATTCGCGTCTCTTCTTCTTCTTCTTCTTCCTTGTTTTATACCTTCTTCTTCAGTCTCTCTTCGTCGTTAATTTGAAACAAGTCTTCAATAACGCAAACGCCACCGGCCACGCCTGGAAATTTTCTCCACAGGGTAAAAATTTCCTCGTATCGTTATGCCTTGTTTCTTCCAAATTTTAGGAGCTTCTCTTCTCTTCTTTAGGAGTCTAAAAAACTGGTCTTTGTCTGAATATCAGCAAGAGAAATTCAAAATTTGCTGACTTTTTTGTTTTTGTTTTTGTTTTTGTTTTTGTTTTTGTTTTTGTTATGTCTCCATTTTTTTGATATGTTGTGTGTGAGCTAATCTATCAGTCAGAATCATTCTCATGTTTCTTCCTCTACTCTTCTCATTTCCAGCTTTGGATCTCTTTCCTCTCTGTCATGTAGTTTGGTTATATATGAAAGCTCCTTTCTCGTTTGTCTTGTTGGTTTGGCATAACCATGTGAGGATAGCTATTGTAATTTATAAGCTTTCATATCACATTGTTCATAGCATGACAGTTCTCTTTTAGTTCAAACCCTAACTTGACCCTGTAGTACTGTTAAGAGATTATCACTGATCTTGTTTTCCGGATAAAAAAGAAAAATACTTGATATTAAGTGAACCACCAAGTATCTACCTCCTAAACCTACTCTTCCTCAATTTCTTTTAACAACAACATGTTACCTACTTGTCTATTATAACATTCACACTTTATTTTCTTAGAGCTTTTTGGTGGTGAACTGTTATTTAATCTTACATTAGCCATTGTTTCTTTTCCTTCAGAAGGAGTATATCATCTTGCCACAAGAGAGGGCCAAAGAGGGTTTTACTTGATTGCTAATAGGAACAAAACAAGTAAAGTTTTAGTTAGGTTTTGGACTCTCTATGGCTCCTCCTGGTGGCAATGCTTTTCAAGAATCCCTAGAATCTAACTCTCAACATGCTTAGATTATGAGGTTAAGATGTCTAAAGTGGATGCTAATAACAAACCAGCAAGATCAAGTAGTGCCGTATCCATTGGAAAATATGGAATGCATACTAGCAATGGTGTTTATGAGCTTCTCGAATGTCTAGTTTGTACAAATCTTATGTATCCTCCAATTTATCAGGTATGTTCATTCTTTAATTTTTACTTTGTTTTTGTTTAAATGTTGACATTTTTCATTTGTTACTTCCATACAGTGCCCTAATGGTCACACATTGTGTTCAAGCTGCAAACTAAGAGTGCACAACACATGCCCTACATGCCGCTACGAGCTTGGCAACATAAGATGCTTGGCTCTTGAGAAAGTTGCGGAGATCATTACAAGTTACATGCCGGTACCAAACGTTAGGGTGTCATGACATTTTCCCGTACTACAGCAAGCTCAAGCACGAGCAGCATTGCAGGTTTCGATCTTACAACTGTCCTTAAGCTGGCTCTGAGTGTTCAGTGACTGGCGATATTCAGACCCTTGTTGACCATCTCAATGATGGTCATAAAGTCGATATGCATGATGGTTTCACTTTCAACCACCGTTATGTCAAGTCAAATCCTCGTGAGGTTGAGAATGCTACATGGATGCTTACGGTAAATCCATGAACTTGCTTTTACTCCATATCAGTGCCTTAGGAGCCGTCTAGACCGGTTTTTAGAATTAAAAAGTTGTGTTTTCACTACTTAGACTTGAATCATGTTTCATCTGATGTTTGTTTAAGGTGTTCAACTGTTTTGGGAGACAGTTCTGTTTACACTTTGAGGCGTTTCAGCTGGGGATGGCACCAGTGTACATGGCGTTTCTAAGGTTCATGGGAGACGAGAAGGAAGCTAAGAAGTTTAGTTACAGTTTGGAAGTTGGTGCTCACAGCCGTAAACTGACGTGGCAAGGGATTCCGAGAAGTGTCAGAGACAGTCACAGGAAGGTCCGATATAGTCAGGATGGACTCATCATCCCTAGAAACATGGC